ACATCCTCTACTAAATCTATATTTAGGTCAGTACTTCCTTTTCATGACCTGGCAATTGATAGTTTGCAGGGGACCATTTTAGGATATGACCTATTTAATGTACAGTAATAGTTTTTTTTAAAAAAAAAAAGAGAAATGGCTATCTGATCCCATAAGAACTTTATTATCTGTGTAAGCTTCATTCTCCAGGCCTGCCAATGTTTGCATTTCGAATGTTTTCATTTGAGCATCCTGGGTAGATATTGCAGCATTATTATTCTTTGTTTAAATCAGTTTAAATTCATTGTAATGAAATGGCACTTCATCAGCGGATTCTTGGATATTTATATTGCCATTGTCACAACATGGTCCCGCTGCTATGCAAACAACTGTTAACAAGGATTTTAAATTAGCTAGCTTAGAGGTCATATCGGTTTCTTCTTTTATGGAGCTATTTTATAATGTAATATTATATCTATTTTTTTCATTTTCCAGTTCATCACTTGCAATCTTTCCATGCTTGTCAGAGATTTGCATTCATGGATGTGATTCTACATTGTATTTGTCTTTTGGGGGCATTCATACTCACATTGTCTGCTGCAGCTGTTTTGTTACCTTTTCTGAAAATAGTTGCATGCTTTTCTTTACAGCGTGCACCTGAAGTACTTTACAAAAAGCGGAAATGAACATAAGTGTCTATAAAGTCCCTACATAAAAATTAAAGCAATTTCACATTAATTAGCATCAATTTCACCATTAGGATAGTGAAAAAATACTAATTTCTTCTAGATCTACATAATAGATTTGGCAGCATAATAACTGACTCAATAAAAGATTATCCTTTTGAAATTCACATTTGATAGTCAGTTTCATGTGAGACTTTCCTACAATCACTCTGTGGCCGGGAAGGATTAAGTCCAATTAGTCTCCAAAATACTCTCCTACCCTGAAAGGCATGGAAAGGAAACAAATGTGATCAAATCACAACACCTTCAAAATAATTTTAAAACTTTAGTCATTCACCATTCCAAAGAAAATGGTTTTTTTAACAATGCAAATTAAAGTTTTACAAAATTGAGGATAAGGATAATTACAAAAAAAATGACTCAAGGTTGGCAGAGAAAGAGTTAAGGGCATGAATCATGATACAAGTATATTTCTCTGCCATATTAATTTGGATTTTGGCTTTTCACACCAAACCCTACAAATTGCTATCTTATTGCGAATTGTTACATTTTATCCTCAGAGTTTTGGTACTATTAAAAGTTCTTGCAATTGTTCTAATGTGTAAGGTTTGTACATATTCCACTGGATGGGACATAATCTACATCATACCAGTCTTTTGGGAGAATATTATTGTGTTTGAGCTTTTGCATTGTTTTCTCTCCTAGCAATGTTATTTTGTATTTGAATAATGCATCCTTATAATGACAGAACAGTAATTGCTCTGTTTTATTCTTTTATGGTGACAGATATCGTATTCTAGCAAGAAGAACTGGAAGAGAAAGATTTGGTTTTTTTCCAAATTAAATATTTCATACAAGTACACAGAGGTTTAAAAGAGGAGAGTATCTGCAATGCTTAAATATTTTATGCTATTCACAGGAGGGAGAGCATTGTTAATGTCTCTCAAATTTTCAAGTACTCTTTTAAAATCTTAGACCAAGGTTTCTTTTTTCCCCCTCCTAACATTGAATTTAGTAATTTACCTCAGGTACAAATTGCAGTACTATGCTAAAAGGGTCAATTAGAAGCACCCCTTGTGTGTTCTAAAGGAAACCATGATTTGTTGATGATTTAATCATACAATTATGAAGAAAGTGAAGTTAATCTTCTTACAGGATTTAAGCCTTTTGATTTCATCTGTTGTTGAGCATGGTGAGCAATAACGAGCTTCATTATGCATTGAAAAAGAAAGGCCAGCTGAGGGCACTGTGCACCACATATCTTTTCTCCTTTTGAGAGGATGTGAGTAATTCCTTCTCCTCAGAGTAAGAATCCTTCTTAAGTATTCTTTCTTTTGGGAGGTGGGTAGAAGATGACTGGAAAGAATTGTGATTTTACTAACAGCTGAAGTTGGTATGACAGAAGCCTTGCTGATGGTGGCTATGCTACTCTTCTTAATCTATGTCAAAATTGAGAAGAAAGTGAATATGTACAACATAGAGGTGGAAGAGCCTACAACTTTGGTAAGGAAGGATAGAAATAGATTGGCTGAATTATCCATTCTCCCTTATGAATTAGTATTCTGCATTGTTGTGTTGAATAGAATACACTAGATATTTACTATAATGAATCTGATTTTTGTTATTAATGGATATTCTCTATGGTTAAAAAATCAATAAAAATGTCAAACTACAAACTACATCATTTTCTACAATTTATGAAATATAAACCTTTATTATTAGCTCTCTCCAAATTCTTGGAAAGATCTGAAAATAATGTCTCAGCAGAGGAATAAATAGCAAAATTCTACAACATATAAAAGCCCAGCACAAAGTATAGAACACTAAGCAGCCTTCTGACTATAGGGCCATTAATCTGAGGAGATCTACACCTTATACATTCTGGTATCTCCCACACAATAATCTTTCCTCTCATCACCTGCACTATTTTAGAGGAAAGGTGCTGTTTATTGCAATGGGATCCCAACAATTACAGCCTGCTTTTCTATTTCTACTCAGATGGGAAGGAGGAGTAGAAATAAGCTGCAATGAGTCGAGAAACCTTTCCAAAAAGATACTATCCCACAATTATTTAGGGGAAAAAGGCAAGCAATAGAGATTGCCGCTCTTATAATAAATGTGAATCAATAGCATACATCCCCAAGAGTTTAACATTTACTTAAGTAAGCTAACCTTACACCTCAGAGGAATTGTTTGCTCATTTTAAAAAAAACATCAAAGTAGGAGTCTAGTTATTAAGTACAAGTATTTGTGTATGTCTAAATACACTTTCAGTACATATTAAAACTCAGATACACATTTACAAATTGGGTAGCTTATTACTTTGACAATCACCAAAACATGTTCTAAACCAGAGGTGTTACTGTGACTTTTTCCCCTTTGCTAAACCAGGGATGGGCGTGGCCGGTGTGTGATGCATCCAGCCTGTGGACCAGGAGTTTGACTCTGTTGTAAACTATGAAAGTCATTTAAATTGAAGTTTAGCCAAGAAACTTATTTAAAACTCCAGTAAATCAATGTGGTAGCAATACTGTTAGAGTTTTTTAAAAAAGGAAAAAAAGTAAAGAAATATTTTAAAAGCAACCAAATAAGTTTTCAAGATTGGTTAGAACTTGTCTTAGAAATCAGAGAGAGAAAGATGAAAACACTGCAGACTTATAAACATACATGTTATACTAATGTATTCTACCAGCGTTGCCTCAGCAAATTTATCTAAATGAAAACTGCTCACACAGTACCCGGCCCCATGGCATTCTATCAGTTTTATTTTACTGAAACAAAACATTTCACAAAATGTATCTCAAGTAAAATGAACTTGCTTTGGTGTTTTGTTAACTAAAATTGCTGCTAGACAGCAACAAGGCACCCCAGAGTGTTCCTGTTCTTATTAGCAAATTAATAGCATGAACATGGGGGATAATTTAACTATCCAGTCCAACTCGGAGTCAAATACACAGAACAGCACATTTCCATTGCTCTATTTATAGATGGAGTGGGAAATTTGGACTGTTGATCCAAACAGTCATTTATCCAATGTATCTCCAATTATAAATAGATTTTACATCCCTCATTCCTGAGTTTTAACGTACTTCTAAACTGACTCTAAAGATTCATTTTGAACTCAGAGTACCTCTAAGAGAAGACCTTGTCTTTTCCTTCTCCCAAGAACAATACTCTTCACTGACCAGAGAAGTTTCCCCAATAGGATTGATAAATGTATTCCATTTGCAAGTTTGATTAATGGTTTTATAAAAACAGGGCAAGCGCATTTTAAAAAATGACCAAATGTCAAAGCAGGGTGTTTCTACAATCAATTTGGAAACTAGAGATATAATGATATGTGTGGTCACCTAGGAATAGTGATTGTATTATAATGTCTTCATATAGATAATTTACCTACATCCAACACTATCCTAACATTCTAGGAACTCATAATTTATTTCATATAAAATTAAATTTCAAATATGTATCTCCTGGCGAATCAATTACATTTTTAACTAGCAGATAGTTCTCAAAAGATTGTTTGGTGCTGAAAAATTAGAACAAAGCTACTTTTGTGAAGCTAAAGTGAACTTGAATAAAGTCAGATTAAAGTCACACTGATAGATATTTAGGAAAAAAATAAAATGTTCATTTTTTTAATAAAATGATATAAGTATACATGGGCATCTGCAGAGGAGGGCAAGTAGGGAGTCAAATGAAGATCCAAGTATGATGATGTCATCATGCAAGTGATGTGGTTTGCAAGCACATAATTGCATCGTTTGCATGAGAAATCATGTATGTTTGATGTCATTTCCAAACAGAGAATGTAGTTGGTAGTGCTTTTCCTTTAAGAAAGCCATTAAACAATTTGCAAAGTGAAGACTATGTAATAATCTTATTGGAAAACCTCTTCAGAGTAACCTTTAGAGGTCTAGGAGTAACCTCCAGTTTATTATCAATGTCTGTGACAATGATTCAGGAAGTTTCACCCAAAATATTTCCATTCTACTATCCCACTGGTGTTGCAGTTGACTACTTTACTCAGAGGTTACAAATGCCAAGGCATCTTATTTAACCAGGTCTTTTTTTTGCTCTTATGAACATTATGCATTACATCAATTACATAATACAAACTAGCTTGTTTCCAAGTTGAACACTGAATTAAGAAATGGCAGCTTTAGAGAGAAAGAGAAATAACACAGTTTGCCTATAACTATTAAAGAACCTGAACTGGAATAAAAAAGTAATTGAGCTACAGATGAAATTGAACTGTTCACTGTAACAAAAATATGGAAAATGTAGTAGAAATGTGTACATTCCCAAGGAAAACACAACAGCAGCTCTCACTACCTGAGAAGGAGACTTGGGGATACCTCCTCCAGGAGCTTCCAGAGTAGATGGCTCTGGTTCATGGTTGACGGCCTTGATTTCAGGGCTGGTAATGGGAGTCCCATCAGGTGGAGATGAAGGAGTTTTGTTTGCTTTTGTGCTGTCACTGTAAGAAAAAAGAGAGAGAGAGAGAGCACTTCTCAGTTCTCGGAATTGACATCTTGAGCAGGGTTTTTTTGTATGTCTTGGAACAGACTAAAATGCTTCTTTCACTTGCATTTTTTGGAATACCTCTACTGATATTACTTTAATTTGTAGTAAAGTGCATGTGTGCCTCATATCAAAAGAAGAAAAAAAACAATGTTAAGTTGAACCACTGCCAAAAACCTAATTCCCAAAACATAGGACATATAGCTAATTTAAGGGCTGAGCAGTACTAGCGATTGAAACTCTTAGAAATAAAAAATATTTTTTTAAAAAAGAAAGAGACAAAAAAAGAAACTCTTAGAACCAAATTATGTGATGCCTTACATATACTTTGATTATGCATATGCATAGGTATATTTTAAGTAGTAAACAGCAACAATTGATGGACATAGGGGCATCCAGTATAATTCCAACAGAAATCCATCTCCTAATAATAATTGGGATTATGTGCCACAGGAAGCTATCAAAGAGATTTTCCCTCCCAACCAAACAAGAGAATGGAGAAGGTACTGTATGAATTGTAACATAGAGGGGGGGGGGAGAATTTTACTTGTGTTTTTTAAATCAACATTCCTATTTCCCTCCATGCTCTAATCCAGTGTTTCTCAATTTTGGCAGCTTTCAGCGATGCTGGCTGGGGAACTCCGAGAGTTGAAGTCCCATGTCTTAAAGTTGCCAAGGTTGAGAAACAGTGCTCTAATCTAAATTGCAATACATGCAATGCAAAAGTTTGTCTACCAAATAGTTTTAACTCTTAAGCAGCTCTTGGATATTCTCTTAGATTTAAATAAGATATTTTCATTATACATTAAAAATAAGTAGACCTTAGAGCTTCATAGAAATATAGAAATTTTAGTCTCCTAAGGAATTTTCTGTATGTGTGAACCTGCCGTGTTCTCTGTTATACAATGAGTACTTTGAAATTAAACCAGCTAGCCATGTGGTTTAGAGGGATGAGACAACTGATTTCTTATTTAAACAACACAAAGTAAAAGGTTGAAAAATGGACCTAACCCCACAAAATATGAAAACTTGCTTTACACCTTACATTTTGTCAACTAAATACTCAAATATTAGATTTAAAACAAAAATATCAAAACCCCTGATATAGAGTAGAAGTTTTTAAAACTCTCATATCATTTCTATTTCTAATTTGCATTGGGAAATAAATTATTCTAAATTCATTAGGGCTTATGCTTATGTACCGTAAATGTTCTTGGTTCTAAGAGATTCTAATTATAACCCATTCACTGCTGGAGATTCATGCGGAAGATGAAGATGTAAGTAATCAAAGATGAACTACTAAATTAGGAGTGTGTTCTGGAGGCATTACTGCTGGTTCGCTCATGTGCACGCTGGGCGTCTGCTTGATGCACACAATGCACACATGCGCAGTGCAATTAAATTTGTTCTGTGCATGCGCAGAAGCAAAAAACAAAATGGCAGCACTTATGGCACCACCCAGAGAACCGGTTGCAGCGACCCAGGCTGCCAAACCACTACCGGTTCAGCTGAATTGGTTCAAATCAGTAGGAACCCACCATTGTACCAAATCATATTAAAACCACGTCTATCTTCTTCTGTCTCTTATTGTATCTCCAAATCTTATCAAAAGACAGACAACTGGTAGAAGGAAAACAATTGAGAACTCTTTTTACACAGATTTGTATCATTTAGTCATAGCAGCCATCATGCATATTTATTCAGCAAGCTAGTTAGTATAGAAAACACTTATTACAATAGTTTGCAATAAAAAAACCATATACTCCAAATAGTGATTTCACTTTTTCTCTCTATTGTAATGCATGTCCTTTCTAGGGAGGTTTTTTTCCCTCCATGCATCATGCTCCATGATAACTCATCTCTTCAGAATAGATATCATGATTTGTGATCACATCACAAAAAAAGCTAAGAAAAAGAAGAAGTTAATTTTCCAACTGACTTTCACAAAGGAACAACCGAAGTCATAAGGGTTCTTTACTCAGAATCTGAATGGAATAAAGAGCTCATTTTCCTCCTTCTCTTCCCTCATGAACTGATTGCAAATATGTTTAAAAGGAAACATTGATCATACCATAATAACTTGGCAATCAGCTTCAAAATTTGAATATTTTTGGAGGCCAGCCAACAGAATATGAATAAAGAACAGGAGCACTATTATAATTCACCACTTCTATTGTGGAAGGCATGAGAAAATAGGACCAAGTTGTCTGGCTACATCACAATTTCTCTGAAACAAACAACAAAAATCTATTTATCAATATATAAACTTGTCTATTATTCAAATAAATGCTGGAATTTTATCTATAGTTGCTCTAACTGCAAATCCTTCAGCACTGATATCCATTGCTGCAACATATTAAGCTCTTGCAAAGGGATTACATAAGCTTTACAAATATCAAGCAGAAATTTAAACCAAATTATGCACAAATTTCTAGTACCCTTAGTGTCCTTAAGCTAAGAGGCCTTAGTTCAAATCTAACTTGGTAGTTCTACTAGCTGTGCACAGTATGTGTAAAATATGGGCCCACTTCAGTTTGAAACATTAAATGGCAATCACACTTAGACTTACATACCACTTCACTTTACAGCCCCTTCTAAGTGGTTTACAGAATCGTCATATTGCCACCCCAACAATCTGGGTCCTCATTTTACCGACCTCGGGAGGATGGAAGGCTGAGTCAACCTTGAGTTGGTTAGGATCAAACTGCTGGCAGCCAGCAGTCAGCAGAATTAGCCTGCAATACTGCATTCTAACCACTGTGGCTCTTTAAAGGAAAAACAATGTCCTTTTTTCATATGGGAGGATCCAATATCATAATCCACTGGAGCAAACAGTATTAGGTTATCTGGTTCCCTAATTAGCATTTATCTCTTAGTTACAGAGCACACAGTATTACAGTTATCATTGAGAAATATATTAGGAAGCATAAAAACTGTCATCATAAATGCCACAGATGATCCTCCACTGAAAATGTATTGGGGGGTGGGGAATTGAATTAAAATAAACAATAAAATATTTGAATTATTCAGACACACACAAAGGCAATCTCAAACAATTCTAAGAGAAAGGGGTTTAAATCATGCAGAGGGGAAAAATCCTCTACGTTATCAAGCTATCAATGCGCTATGCTGTTAGAATGAAGCCTGGCCTTTGCTTTTGTCATCCAAATCAGACCACTTTTGCCATTCTGGTACCTGCTCATCTTTTTCCTCAGCCTGGAGAAGAGTTTAGTTTTCTTTCTGTTGAGGACGGCACACGTAAGTGATCTCCATTACAACACGGTTCAACCAATGAGAAAGAAAGGTGAAGATTCCGTGCATGAGCTAATGCAATTACTGAGAAGATATTCGCTCATAGAGGAACTAGAAGGTGGCCCAGTGGGTCATTTTAGCACAGTGGACATTTTCAATTAAAAAATATACCTATTAAGTGCTATGTCAGTGCCCAGTGAATGGAAGAGGAAGAGAAGGATAGATGTCACCACTCATCCTCAGATTACCTCAAAGCTGTACTGGAAAAGAAATGTGGATGTGGAACAGGGCTGAGAAATGTGTAATAGTTATAGCAGAGGACTATGCTTTGGCAACTGAGGTTTCCTTATCTGTCACAAGATCAGTGAACACTGTGAGCCTCAAAAGGTGTCTTTTTTTTTGAGAAAACAGAACTTCTTTAAACATTAGCAACATGGAAATCACTTTCCAATTCAAATGGAAATTGCAGCATCAATGCACTCTCTAAAACCCCATGGATTTGGTCGGTTTACATATTTTCTTAGTAACTATCCAACCAGACACTAATTTGACATTAAATTATGGCACAGAATGGGTAAGGGTCTTTAAATGTATCTTGAAAAATATGTTCCCACAAATATAAATTGTTTGAACTATTGTTGTATTCAGTGGTGGGATTCAGCCAGTTTGTACCACTTCAGAAGAATCGGCTGTTAACTTTCTGAGCATTTTGGTGAATTGGTTGTTGGAAGAAATCATTAGGGCAGAGAACCGGTTGTTAAATTATTCGAATCCCACCACTGGTTGTACTTAGAATGATATTAGCTGAAAACATATTCCAAATTTTTTGGAATCCTTATGCCATCCCATAATACTTTTCTTACGATGTGTCTTCGTGTCCTTTCTACACTCTCACTGATATACAAGTTATTTTTTCCATCTCTACTTCCAAAGTACACAAATAAGTTACTCTATGAAATTCTTTTGGCTTGTAAATATAACAATAGTTATATTTAATATAACTATTTTAATCTTGCTTTTTCTTTCCTGAAACCTTATTGTTTGCTTCAGTTCTACTATTATGCCTAAACCAATGCTATTTAGCCAGACTTCATAAAAAAAAACAAATAATTGTTTCAAGCATAGCATAAATCCTTTCAGATGAGATATCAACAGAAAGTAATCTATAGCAGTGAAATAATCACTGTATTAAAATTACATCGATCCAAGTAGAAGGAATAAACTAAACTTCATTTAAAGAAATCAAAGTATTTTTGTCATAGTCACTATGCATTAGGAAAACAAATGCATATTTACTCAAAAATCAATTTACTAACTATAATATGGTTTTCTTTCAGTTTAGTGTTTAAAGGACAAATCTTCATCCTAAACGGACCACATCTATGGTAAGTTCTTCTTTCTCTACTGATTGTTACATATCTTTGGGGATTTATTATATATTTGTTCAGCCTTTCTCGCTCTTTCTTCATTCTTCATTTGTTCAGACTGAACAAATATATAATAAATCTTATTTATTACAGTTCTGTTTTATTGAGTGAAAGTGGTTTATAAAGGGTTTGCAATTTCTTTCTCTCTCTCTTTGAAAAACCTAGAGTCCCTCTCATTGCCAAGAACACAGGAACTGATAGATTTTCTGATATCAATTCATTTTACAGATTCATTGTCCCTTTGTTCTATTGTGTGCGTAGGAGTAGTTTTGAAAAAAAAAAAGGAAGCAAGATAGTTTCAGATTGCTTTCCAAAAGAAGTACACAATAATCCTTTTCCTAATGATGGCTTGGCACATTGCATGTCATTAATGCAAACACAGCAAACCCCAGATTCAGAGCAGCTGGGAGTCTGAGTTCCCAAACTGCTTCATCATTCACATCTTTGGATAAAAGTCAGAAACCAAAAAGTGAGGCCTACTTTCCCCTTAACTGTATGAGCTGAGGGTTGGGGAAAATACTGTGTGTGTGTGTGAAATATATGAAAAAAATTGGCAGATGTTATGTTCTCTTCCTATCCCTGCCTCTACTTGGAATCGACCTTAAACTGTAGTGAATACCTTCACGAAGAATTTCACAGTATTGTTAAAAAAAACCACACAAATGAATTTAATAATAAATTCATTACTAAATACTAAATGCATCAATAATAACCATACAACATGTTTGTATATGGTGGTGGGTGGGGGGGAATCAAAGAACTTTCACCAACTTTGCTTGAATTCTCTAAAGCAGTTCAAAAACATCCCTACTTTTATAGCAAAACTAAAAATGTTGTGATCCATCTTTTACAGTATTATTATTCGTGTGTATGTAAAGGTCTATTTTCCAGTTGAGATAAACACATTCATGATCACAAATGAAGGCAAATATATGTGTCCCATATAATGTTGCAGGATCCAATCTGGGTCAGTCACTGGGACCAGAGGTTTTGTCTTCCAAGCTTTCAGACTCATGCTGGAGCCCATCTTCAGGTTCTCTAGCAGAGTGTGTGCTGCTCTGCGTGTGGTATTTATATGGTGCCTGTTGCATGCAACTGTTTAGATGCTGATTGGGGTGTGTTGATGACTGGCTTTTAAGTTGTGGGCTTTCATTTGCTTGTGCTGCCCAGCTCTCACCTCCTAAGTACTTGATAAGGTAAATCAGGACTCCTATTGATTGACAGGTGGCCTTTTTCTCAGGCTTCAATCTTCAAACCTGGCTGTTTTTGCGCCTACTCATCCAACAATCTTAGTAGTTGCAAAGTGGAACTCCTTGAACTCCTTGATTTGAGCAGTTAAATGAGGAGACTCAAACTCATTGGTAGCCTCATACTGCAATCAAGGACACACATTCAACTTTGTAACTACTAAGATTGTTGAACCAGCAGGCACAAAAACAGCCACGGAAGTGATTGAAGCCTGGGAAAAGGACCCTCATCAGTCAACAGGAATGCTGATTTACCACCAGCCTTTCAAGAACTTAGAAGGTGAGGATTGGGCAGCACAGGCAAATAACAGTCAACAACTTAAAAGCCAGTCATCAACATACCCCAATCAGCATCTAAAAAGTTGCATAAAACAGGCACCGTATAAATACCACATGCAGAACAGCACACATTCTGGCGCCCATTACTAACCCAGATTGGATCCTGCAACATTCAAGATCATCTAAATGTAGCCACTGTGTATTACTGTATGCCAGAATTGCACCGTGTTGATTTACTAATATATTCAGCCTTAGGGTCAGCATTGTGGATACATTTATTGTTGTGTAAATCTAATCTCTTTTTATAGAATTGTGATATAAAGGGTATCCGATATGGAGCTGAGATCCTTAAGAATATAAATCATAAGTAACAGAGTCAAGGAGCTCAAAGGGCCAGCCTTTAGCCCCAGAGCTGAGAATATGGTTTATTATTATTTATTATTATTTATATAGCACCATCAATGTGCATGGCATTTTACACAGTACAAGAGAACAAGTCCCTGCCCCGAGGAGCTTACAATCTAAAAATTGACAGAGGAAAACAACAGAGGAAGGAAGGGAAATAGAGAGAAGGATAAATGGGAAAAGAATATGTGATTAGTTCTATTAGACATACTTACGCTGATGTACACAAAGATATGGAAACCAGAATATTGTGCCAAGAACACTGTGTTATAACAGAATCAATTCTGGCAAATTATACTTTAGCCCCACTGAAATGTATTTTTCCCATCATTGTATCTCCATAAAAACATCAACGGCTAAATTTCTGAAGACCTATCTACAGATAAGTATATCATAGCTGATGCCTGAAGGGTTCACTCATAAGTAAACCGAAAATACAGGGGCTCCTACTCTTTTCCGACACTTCTTCCAGCTTTTAACAAGGAAAGAAGATTTGTTACATTCTTTACTATACATTATATATAAAGCTATACATTGGTTTACGCATACTAACCTTGGCTGAGCTTTAACAGGATAGGTGCTTGTTGCATGTTCTTTCTCTAGAGTCACAAGGACATCATTCAGGTTTTGGTTTAACTGAGACAATAAATAAACAAAAGTTCAAAATAGGAAAAGAAATTACAGGTCAGTATAACAAAGAGCCTATTAGAAATATGTCGGTATTCAGGATTCTGCTACTTATTTATATTACCTCAATGACAGAGCTAAGGACATCTTTTGAAACAGATGTCTTATGAGCAAAATCTGTGACATATGCACACACAATAATAATATGTTCAGTTCATGTTTCTTCATTTTCTCCTCCTCTGGGTCACATATTTGTACTGCTCCAAGCTCTTCCCATCCATAAACAGACTTTTTATTTCTCACTGGGACTTAATCCCATCTTCCTTTTCTCTCTTCCCATCCCATTGCCTGCTAGGTTGCTATGCAATCTTAGTCTGTCACTAAATAAGAAATCAGGCCAAACTAGTGGAAATGGCCTGCAGGAAGGAGTTCATCTAGGCTTTCAGTCCATGCCAGCCATGGCAGCAGGTCCATGGAACAATCTGACGCTAAAGAAATGCAGATTATCTTTTGGCATTACAGGAAAAATGGAAGAAACAGGATTACCCCAGAGAAACAGACTGCTCAGGGTTTTATCTCATAAATTATTGCGCTGTTGGAAGAACATATTTGATAAGTGTACTGTAAGTGTGACCTGGTTCTAGCACTTTTGCATTCAAATTGTTCCCATAAGCTATGGGAAAGCATACCCACACTGTCTCATCAATGTAAACAATGTGAAACTTCAGTTCAGCTTCACTATTAGTGGTCCACCTCTCTGTTTTCTCACTTGTTGTAAAGACTTTAAATGCCTTAGCTGAACTGTGATAGGAATATATTTTCCTATTACGGTGGTTTAGTTTTGGATGTCTGGCTATGACATCCATCCGATCATATCAGTGGATCCCATGTAAGTTGGCAATTTCACCAAGATTCACTGTACATTGCCACCCATACTATTAAATCTTCTTTGTGCCTCATAATATTTATAGAGATATACAACAGCTTAGAAATAAGAGCAAAATACAAGCTATACAATTTCCCTCCTCAGAGTTTTTGGGACCCTTTTGGGAAATCTCATTAACGCAAAAGCATGGAACCAGGCAATATCTACCTTGAAAGTTTATATACATACATACATACATACATACATACATACATACATACACACACACACACACACACACACACACACACAAAAATCTGAACTCCTTGTTGGAAGGTTGGCAGAATCTTTCAACAACTTTACCACTTTCCTCTTAATATACTTTTTGTGAATTTGTATCTAGTCATTTGACACCCCTTATATATTCTCCTTTCAATATTGACATGTTCCAACCTGCTTTTTCTATTGCTTGGTACAGGATTTTAAATTCTAAGCAAAGAGGATTAAGTTGCAGGTTTATGTAAATGGATGGATATAATTTCCTTCTTTTACATTTCCTCTTTTAAACTGTGGTCTTCCTGATTCCTTGTCATGCCATGCGTACAAGGGAAGAGAAAGATCATTTATGCTACTCTGAAGGTGTAAATTGTTTATCCATGATATTAAAGTAAACTATGGCACAGTCACTAGAGAAATTCAGGACATGTTTCATTGGCAAGCAATTATTGAAAAGCAACTGAGTAGTTTCATTAGTTAAATACTGTATATATTAGTACTATATACACCATTAACCACTGAATTTAATTATTGATAAGCTTTCACACATATAAGAGCAATGGCTCCAGCCTTTCAAATCCTAATATAAATTGACAGATAGAAGTCCTACAGAAAAATAGATCTATAGAAAAATGAGAAAGTAGGGACTTATATAATGATCTTTTTTCTTCTCATATTTTTCACTAGTAGATCTTAAGGAAACATACATAATATACCAAGGCAGTTTTAGGCACTATCCAAACTTGGAACTGTTTATATTCTACAACAGGGGTGTAAAACACGTAGGCCACAAGCTGGATCCAGTCCACAATAGGCCCAGAGTTGTCCCACGGGACCATCCTGGAGATGGCTAGGGATCAGCCCCTGCTACCCCAGACCTGGCCACCCAGTCAGCCATGATGACCAGGCCACTCCCACCTCGGTCACCCAAGGGCAAACAAACTCCTGATACCACCAGTGATGGGATCGAGTTTGACAAACCTGTTCTACAAGATTTCTGCTAATGCCTTCAAAAAATGCCCCAGTCTGTTTTCAGAAGAGGCACCTCAACAGTTAAAAAGACTCTCAACTGTATCAGCATCCTTGAGCATCATAAGCTAACACAATTGCCTTCTAATAATAATAATAAAAGATAGGATGGAGAACTATGTGTGACACCAATAGGAAGAAGAATGCCTTGCAACTTTACCTTGCCCATTTCCTTATGAAAATTCTCTTCTAAGCCAGCAATACTCTGGAATGTGTTGACATAGAAACCAACACGACTAGAAAATAAAACAGTAAAGTCAATAGAGATATAGGCAGATGTTTATCCTTCAATTTTACCCCATTTGCTAATCAGCTTTCATGTCCTTGACTCCTCTCACAGGATGAAATATGTGATTTAGCAAAAGAAACAACATGGACAGAATACTTTGGTTGAGCTTCATTGGAGCAAAAACCAATCTAAATCTTGTAAATTTCTCCACTGAGACCCTCAGCTTCTTTCCAGAAATATAAGGCCAAAAAGAAGGCCAGATCTTATTTTCTTTTGACCCCTGAAAAAACAGCTAGGCCTTCTTTTTGGAGGGTTCTAATTATTGACCCACCTCATGGCAGTGGCACCAACAACTCAGCCCAGCAGGAGCCCGCTGCTGGCCCACTTCTTCTGCGGTCACTTGCGGCCACTCGCATACATTGCCCCTGCCTCCATTTTACCTTCCGGAAGGCATCTGAAGGCGAAACAGAAGCCAGGGCAATGAATGCAAGTGGCGGCAAACAGCCACAAAAGGCGAAGCAGGTGTTGGGGTATGTGAGGCTGGTAAGTAGGGCAACTCCACTCCCCATCTTCACCCTAGCTTATATTCTGCCTGTGTGCCTCACCCCCACCCCCTGTACCTCAGGGTGGGTGGGGTCTTAATTAGGGCTAATTTTGTGGGTGGTGCTAAATTTGATTGCATGTGCTCAAAAATGTGATAGGGCTTCTTTTCAAGGTGGGTCGTCTTTTTGGAGAAACACAGTAGGTAGAATAAAGAGCTTTTGTTTTTTGGTGCTCACCTATTCCATAGTGAAGGCAGTTCTTCCTGAAGATCAATGTTCATCTCTTCAAATACTTTCTGGGCTTTTACTAATTCTTCTTCAGCCTGTGGGGTATCAACAAACCCATATGTAACCATACATAAGAGAGTTTACATAAGTTCCATATTGGTCACTACGTAGCATAGTGGAAAACATTTACTAGAATACGGGCTAGCAAACTAAGCAGGGTTGTTAATGCAGACAAATAGAGGCAGTAACAATATCCCAATTTTCCCAGGAGCCCAGTATTCTTACCTTTGAAGGTTTGACAAAGCTGATCAAAATCCCACAAGTTCATCTCTTTCCCACTGAGGACTGGGGGAGAAGATTCTGACAACTAAGCTTTGGTCACTATAAAGAAAAACTGATGTCTACTTTGTACAAAGATAAACTAATCTTGGCCTCATTAGAATGCTAGTTAAAGTCCACTTGCACCTCCAACTAATAGAAATGTTCTACATTTCCCTCTACTTCCTCAGATGGCCTCAGATGTAGGCTATCTGTTCTCAATAAAGGTGAGAAATCCAGTATATGGCTGCAGGAATGGAAATGGTTTATGTGGCTAATATGGGGAGTTACAAAAGCCATATCTACAAAGCTACCCCTTACTCTAGTCTACTTCATTTTCAGAACACATTGTCAAGAATGTTGGAAATGGTAGTCTGCATACCACTAAGAATTATTATAAATACACAGACTTCTGGAATTCTATGGAAATGCAATTATGCAGCATTCAGTTCAGACTAAAACTAATAAAAATGTTTGATACTCCCCAGAGGATTAGCACTAGCACAAAATTTTAAAGAGCCTAACAAAGTGCAAGCGGTGGGGAGATATGTATCTATAGACTGATGAAATAGAATATTTAACCAGTAAATACACAAAAGTTTCACTTTATATCATAGATGGTCTACCATAATATGGGTAAGTAGTGAAGCTGGATTCTTACCAATTCAGTAGCAAGAAGAAAAAAGAAATTGCTTACATGCCAGTCAATGGCAGGAATGCTACGAGGTCCCTAATGAGTATATATAGGCCTCTGTCCTTGAAAAGAAATTCTAACAAGGTTTTAATCATTATTATAAGGTGCTAATATGAGCAACACAAGTCAGATTTTTTGTTTAAAGGAGAAATATATTTTCTTAGTAAAGATATATGCTAAGATATATTTTATAATATTAGCCTGGTGCCTGATTGGGGTTTTTCTAAGAATGGGGGCAGGTTGTCACATGATTTGATATTGATGAATGCCTGAATTAAGCAATGAACAGAAAGTAATAGCAAAGTTGGGGGTTTGGCATATACAAACTGTATAGAACATTATTACTTGGAATCTTAATACTGAGCTAGTCTACTTTTCCATTTTCAGCAGACAGGGTTATTCATGCTCTAGGAACTAAAAAGTTGGTATCTACATTGAAATATTCCAATATTGTGAGACAGAAATACCCAAGGCAACATTCACTCTATAAAGAAACAATAAGAGGCTCTAAAACCCAATACTATGCAATACTATGGTTTCCCATGGGAGTCACCTTGGCAGCACTCAATAAAATAGATATTATGACAATTATTTGTCTCTTTATCTTAAGGCAAATTAATGAAAATAATATAAAATATAAAAATATTGAGATATGGTTTGCTACCCAAAGCAATATAATACAATACAAAACAGGCAAACAAGGAATGAAAAACAAATCTCACCAATTATATCATGCACAAATTCTAACTTGCTACATAAATCTCATGGCAACTCTCTACAATTCTGTTTTTACAACAGCTGAGAAATTGTATGGGAAATGGCAGAAATGGAGTTTGACCAATTAACAGGAAACCCTTCAAGATATTTATGAAAAATTGGTTATATTTTTATATCATTGCTTCTATATGATCGCAGCAATAGCATTTAGACTTATATACCATTTTATAGTGCTTTTATAACCCTCTCTAAGTGGTTTACAGAGTCAGCGTATTTCCCCCAACAATCTGGGTCCTCATTTTACCCACTTCGGAAGGTTGGAAGGCTGAGTCAACCTTGAGCCTGGTGAAGTTCGATCTGCCAAATTGCAGACCGCCCGCAGTCAGCAGAAGTAGCCTTCAGTACTGCATTCTAACCACTGCGCCACTGTGCCATCTTTATTGACATTTGTACTTGTAAAGGGTTATTGTTGCTCTGATATGTATTGTTTAAAACTGTTTGGACTGAAGTGATATATAAATCTTAAATAAATAAATATGCAAGGAAGCAAGTATTCTAATCCCGGGAACAAGCACTATTCATTGGATCACAATAGCTCTTTCAATTTGCCTTTTTAAAAAACTTATCAAATATAATTCAGAAACTAATCAATACGTTGTGGGTGAAGTTTCTATAGAACAAGCAATCTTAGTGATCTGCCTTTTCCAGGCTTTTTATATCCAAGTAATTTTTAATGTTTTAAGATACTAATCCTATTAGTCAGTGTTTTAGCATTATGTCATCTCTGTAACATTTGCTAACATATAAACTACTTCTCTATGTCATCTGGATTCATTCAAATTTCAGGTGCCAACCTCTGCAGATTTATATTTTTTAATTTGATTTTTTAAAAAAAATATTAGATTTCAATGTGACTTATTTTCATCCCACTGAAGAATTCCAAAACTCAGCAAGATGAAACAGCTGTCCATCTGAGTCATGAACATAAAGAAAAAAAGAATTTCTTTATACATAGTTGAATCTGGGCCAATTTTACAAAGAAAGCATCTGTATGCTTTCAGTTAGCATTTCAATGGGGTTGTAGGAAGGCAGGAATTTGCTGTCTTAAGCAATTTAACTCATCAACCTTCCGGAATATATTCCAAACAAGAACACAGCTAGAATGATCATTTATTTCTACTCTCTTGAGATACATCCCCTCATCTTTCTGATGGAAAAATGTAAATCTACCTCCATGTTATTTATTGCCTATCTTTGATAGAGATTATGGCAAGAAACAAGGAAAGTTAGCTCACTTACCAAAGGAGATTCATTCTAGAATCTCCTTTGGTTTGTACACAAACCATGTTTTGAATATTTTTAACCTGAAATTTGGAAGTTCTGATGAACCATTCCAGGTGGACATTAGCAGGGGTTAAGGGGGAGTAAAGGAGGGAAAATGCTGTGGAGATTGGAGGACAGGAAGCCACTTGGCTATGTCATATTTGAAGCTTATTGGTTTCAAGCACAGCACACTCATGTGGTGCATGTAATGCAGTGTTTCCCAACATGGGGTCCACACCTACAGAGGGACAATTTTATTTTTAATGGGAGCAATTTGAACCTTGTTTAAACCAAGTTAATGCCCTTTTAGGATTCCTCCGCATGAGTACAGTTTACTTTTTGAGTAAAGTAAGAATTATATGTGGGGGGGGGAATCAGGATTTTAGAGATGCTTAGGTGGGGCATGGCCAAAAAAAAAGGTTGGGAACCACTGATCTAATCCTTCTACCATGTTCTTTTCTTTCTACCTTCCCTTAGTCACCACCAATAACAACAACTTTCTTGATTGCTGCAAATCTGACCAATTCACCCACTGTTCCCCAATATTCCCAGTGACATATTTTTCCTACCTCCCTTTAACTACCACTGATGATGTTTGGGTTTTGGCCTACTCTTTCCCTGAAGAAATGCTGGAACACACATCTGGACTAAAGACCTGTTTCAATCCAGATACAGACCACCCAAAATTCTCACCAGTCCAAATTAATATAACCAAGGGTCAGGACTGATAGTAATCCAAACCATCTGGAATTTGAGAAGCTGGGTTTAAAGTATCCAGCAGTTAATTAAACTATAATTCACTGATCAACTCAGAGAAGCCACATAAAAGGAAACTGGTTTCTTTAGTTCAAAACAGTAAGTTATCATCCTACAGTATTTGCTCTCCCCCGCCCACCTTTTTTTTAGTCTTTTGTTTCATTTAATAGGCACACTTTGCAAGTGTGTCCTTTGTTAAAACACAATATACTACCCTGATCTTTATTTCTGTTCCTCATGGAAAACAGACATCTGATAACTCTTATTCACTTATTACCACGTTGTTTCCCATAAGGCTTTTGGATGTTCAAAGTTCTTGGCAGGATTTTATTTATTGGCACTGTATTCTTCAAATGATTTTAGAGGAAAGGCTACATTGTCCAGAGACATTTGTAATCATAAAGCAGAACAAGACTTAAAAATTATAGACTTAAAGCTTGTTATACATTCATTTAAAAAAACACCTGGATTTTATAAAAGGTTAAACTATAAAATAATATGTACAAACAGAAGCTGAAAACCAAAAGGAAGCCCATAGAAGGAACTTTAAAACAACAGAATAACAGAGTTGGGAGGGACTTTGGAGGTTTTCTTGTCCAATCCTCTATATCATTTCAGATAGGAAACCCTATACCACGAGTGTCAAAATTGCTGCATTGCACTGTCATCACATGACGTTTTGTGACATTTTTCCTATTCGCAGAGCTGGGGTGGCCATGGCCTGCATGTGACGCATCTGGCCTGTGGGCCACCAGTTTGACACCCCTGCCCTATACCATTTCAGACAAATGATTGTCCAATCTCTTCTTTAAAATTTCCAATGTTGGAGCATTCACAATTTTTGGAGGCAAGTTGTTTCACTGGTTAATTATTCTAACTGTCAGGAAATTTCTCCTTAGTTCTAGCCTCTCTCCTTGATTAGTTTCCATCCATTGCTTCTTGTTCTGCCTTCAGGTGGTTTGTGGACTAGCTTGACTCCCTCTTCTTTGGGGCAAACCCTGAGATGTTGGAACCCTTCTATCATGTCATCCCTAGTCCTTCCAGCAACCATTCTTTATACATTTTAGCTTCCAATCCCCTAATCATCTTTGTTGCTCTTCTCTGCACTCTTTCTAGAGTCTCCACATCTTTTTTACATCGTGGCGACCAAAACTGAATGCAGTATTCCAAGTGTGGCCTTACCAAGGCATTATAGAGTGATATTAACATTTCACATGATCTTGATTCTATCCCTTTGTTAATACAGCCTTGGACTCTATTGGCTTTTTTGGCAGCTGCAGCTGCAGATCCTCTTCTCCTTGCTTATTACATAGAGCAGTGGGTCTCAACCTTCCTAATGCCACGACCCTTTAATACAGTTCCTCATGTTGTGGTGACCCCCAACCATAAAATTATTTTCTGTTTTCCGTATTTTTTCAAAAATATATCTTTTCTGATGGTCTTAGGCGACCCCTGTGAAAGGGTCGTTCGACCCCCAAAGGGGTCCTGAACCACAGGTTGAAAACTGCTGACATAGAGAGTGGTGAAGGGAAAGACCCATGAGAATAGATCAATATCCATCTCCCAGAAATGGATCCTGGGATTTAATGGCTGAGTGTTAATGAAAGAGAAGAGTAACTGTTGACCAAAAACTATGGTCAACCAGCCTGAAATTTGGGTGAGAATGAAGGACTTTAAGCATTGGTGAGTTAATGGAAATAATAAGCCTGGCTACAAAACTTTTTATAAGGATACTGAGTACCAGAAAAAGAATCTATAACAGGGGTGTCAATCTCAATTTCATTGAGGGCCACATCAGGGTTGTGTTTGACCTCAGAGGGCCAGGGTGGCATGGGTGGGGGTGGGATGACCATGGTGGGCATGGCCAGCTTGACGTCACTCATGTTGGAGGCATCTGTGGTGGCCAAGTGCTAAGGCAGGACTTCACTGAGACTCTCACTCACTCTCATTATAATTTCTTTCCTTCCTTCATTCCTTCCTTCCCTCTTCATTCTCATTTCTTCTTCCTTCCCCTCTTTCCTTGTTTTTCTTTCTTTGCTCTCTTCCCATCTTTCCTTTTTTCTTTGTCTTTGCTCTTTCCCTTTCTCTTTTCCTATCCCTTCTTGCATATTCAAATGCAAAAGGGGAAACACTTCTCCATTTATTTTGTTTTTAGTTTGTTTTGCTACCCCTCTGTCAGAGAAAATGGAGAGGCCCCCATTTTCAGCTGCAACTGCCTCCTGCAGGCCTCTGCCAGTGAAAATGGAGCTTGGGGGGGCATCCATGCTCCCCCCAACTCTGTTTTGCTGGCAGAGGCATTGCGGGCTGGTCCTTTGCTATTTCCAAGTCGGCCCTGCAGGCCAAATCTAAGCATCTCATGGGCCAGATCTGACTCGCAGGCCTTGTATTTGACATCCCGGAGCTACAATAACAAGAAGAGGCTATTGTATAATACGTAGATATATATTTGCCTCTCCTCCTTGTCATCCATAGAGCTCAGAATCCAGAAATATTTGGATCATGATTGAGCAATTATAAACTCCTAGGCAAACTCTAATTAAGCGATACCAGTTGCCACACAATAGAGGCACTACTGGAGCCACTTCCCCACCTTCTATTCTATTGTCTCACTGGACACCCCTACATTTAATTGCTGATGAGGACCTGGTACCATGTATTAATCTAGGGCACGGATGTCAAACTCACAGCATCACGTTGCCGTCATGTGATGTTTCATGTTTTTCCCATTCACAGAGATGGGGTGGGCGTGGCCTATGCGTGATGCATCCAGCCCGCAGGCTGCCAGTTTGACAATCCTGATCTAGGGGAATACAAAATCAGAGAAACTACATTGCCTTTTCAAACATGTTTTTGGCTCCAAGAAGTCTGAATTTTAAGTCAACAATCCTCCCAGAGGAAAAAAAAAACCTTCCAGGAGAGATTAGAGTGAATGCTGCCTGGGGAATAAGCACAGAAGAGAGCTTCAGCCAGAAACATAACATGCAGGGTTAGAGGGCAAGGCAGGCTGGACTATCACCTGATTCCGCAGCAGGTTAGTCTGAGCTACGAGATGCGCTTGTAGCTTCCCTTGACACCACTGAGGCGCAGCTTTCTCAAGCAACGAGACAGGCTGGGCAAGAGCATATCCAGGACAAAGACAAGAAGAAAACAGGCACCTTTTGAGAATTATTTTTAAAATAAGAATAAAAATCAAATAATAAAGGTCAGGATAAAGCAACCATCCCAACAACAACAACAAAAACGGAAAACAAAAAAAACCAGAAGTCAGTATTAAGTGATAAGTCAAGGATGAATCCTATATGACATGCCAAATATAGCAGTAATTAATGCTCCACAGAATGATCAATGAACTCCAGAGCGAGCACAGCTTATAAACACTCCAGCTGCAGAGAGCAACAGAGAAGAAATTGTTAGTCATTTAGAAAGCAACACAGTCCAACCTTACTTAGTCTCTCTCCATAGGTCATTAGTAACTTCAAAAGGAGCCAAGATTAAAAGGCAACTTCATTATAACAGCCATGCAGATTGTTCATATTTTGTAGCATTTGATTTAAACATCAGAGATTGACAACTGTCTAAGTCTAAGGTTGGAATAATTTGCATTAAGTACAATGGCACTTATTTAAACCATCCATAAGATCTTAGAACAGGTCATTTAAAATGAACAGAGTACTATACAGAACTGAAGAATATCCCCCTCATTAGTGATATGATTAGAATTTTCAGAGCACAAGGAACAATAGTCACAGAGAGAAACTTGATTGATAAAATATTTAATCTGAATTTTACAAAATCACTCTTGCTGATATCCTTAATTCCTGCAATGGTCATAGATAGAAACACAGCACATTTACCTCAATTCAAAAAGCCAGATGCCTCTCACCAGAAAAAGCCTGGACAATTTGCCCTAGCAAAATCATTTTGCCCCATGACACAAACAGTCAAATCAGAAAAGTCTAGATTAGCCAAAATCCCTAAATGCAGGAATAAAGGAATACTAATAGAAAGAGCACTTTCTATACTGAGTTTTTCATCCCCTAGCTCTAAGACTTCTTGTTTCTTCATTTAGTTTTTATTTTCCTTTTAGCATTGGCACACACTACTGTTTTTCCATTTCAACTGTATATAATAGTTTTTGCATTGTTTTTATTCATAAGATAAAATCATGTTTGTCAGAAATTCTGAAGTTTGGGTACTTTGTTTTTTTGTTTTTTTACTTCTAACAACAAAAAGTGGATTGTTATGTAGATACATACAAACATACAGTGGTAAAAATACCTAAATAACTTGATTTAGAACAGACAGATATTTCACCTCTTACAAGGGCTTTTTACCTTGGCAATTTTAGCCTCATCTTTCTTCTTTGCAGTTTGAAGAGATTCATAATGATGCCTGGCACTGTCATAGTCTACAAGTTTCCTTCCCCGTTTAGCAATGCGAGACTGAAAGGAGATGTGAGAAGAACACCGGAGCCATGAAGTAACAATTTTCACAGACCAATGTATATGCATTCTGCCAATTATGCAATCAACAAGCAAATTGTCTTGTAATCAACTTCCCTAAATCTATCTAAGATCAATGTAAACTATTTCAACTTTTTTCTCAATGTATATGCTGAACAGTCTGATGCACGGACCTACACACACACACCAATTGACAAATATGCCAAAGTTGAAATTTTTCTTTCTACCAGTTAGCTGGATGGAATATTAGCTGGCTGAGTGGAAGGTTGGAAATAATGTGAAAAACACATTATTGTGTTTTTATCTTCGGAGTAACCTTCTGAGAAAGGCTGAAGTGAGATTCAGTGACTTTTTACTGTACAACTTCATCTTACAGCTTTCCCATTTCCTCCTTAACAAAACACTAATCCTACTGCCTCAATATTTTTACTCAAGTATGTCTCTCTTCTAAAGTATTTTAACTTAAAACATAGATGTCTGCGTGCTTTCCAAAATTCCTTTCTGTACCATGCTACGTCATTTCTTTTAAAAAAACTGAGAGAAATTGAATTGCTTAAATTATTATGATGCACATATAACATATTCTATGTTTGCATCTTCAGTTCTTTTGCTATAGAATGCACTTTTTACACACTCTGAATATTGTGTATGGTTCCTAGAGTGACAATAGTAAAATAGCATTTAAAAAACAGCTTGTTGTTGCTAAATGCATTTTTGCTTTGGGAGCTTTGAGAAATGAAACAGGAAAGAAAGATTAATAGATACCATGTTAACTTTTCATTAGCTTAAGATCATGAGACAATAAAAAACTAAATCCAGTTTTCCATAATAAATTACTAATTACTATTACTAAAAAATGAAAGCAGGGAACTAGAAAAGAAAATATTTGTGCATGTTAAGAACGTGCAGCCTAACAATATTTGCGATCCATTAAGAACAAAGAAGGGTTTTTTCATCGTATTGAACAATGGTTTCTGATGTGATATATACATTGTATGGTTTTATTAAGTGTTATAAGTGTCTACATGGTATTGTGTCTACATGGTATTGGACCTGGGTACTTGAGAGACCACCTCCTGCCAATTACCTCCCTACGACCAATCAGATCCCACAGATTGGGCCTCCTCTGAATACCATCTGCTGGCCAATGTCGACTGTCGACCACTCGGAGGAGGGCCTTCTCTGTGGCTGCTCCGGCCCTCTGGAACGATCTCCCCGTGGAGATTCGGACCCTCTCCACCCTTCAGGTTTTCCGCAAGGCTACCAAGACCTGGCTGTTCCGGCAGGCCTGGGGCTGATGAGTTCCTAGCCCCACTTGAATTGTGTGACTGTTGTATTGTTTTTAAGTTGTTTTTTGTATTTGTGTTTGTCTTTGTCCGTTTTGTATTTCCCCTTCCCCCATCTAGTTTGTTGGCCGCCCTGAGTCCCTCGGGAATAGGGCGGCATACAAGTATAATAAACTACCTAACTAACTATATTTCAAATCAAATAAATCAAGCTACTTCAATTACTCTGTTTCACCTAGAACAAACACATTGTTAGTGATACTACAATACATACGTTTGACCATTCAGACGACTATTGAATGATTAATTGATTGTGTCATTGTTGACTCTTAGCAATAACATAGAGATAACTATAGGGCTTCAGTAATCTTGGTTTCTTTTTACATATTTCTATTTCAGCTCTTTTGAGAGTTTAATTATTGTCAGCTTTTTATTTTACCATATGAATGTATCAGTTATGTATTTTTGTTCATTTTATAAATTTTTGGGTGGTAGTCAAATGTGGAATATAAATTATATTATCCTTATAAGCCAATCTATAAGTCACATTTAAGAAAATATGAAGGACTTCATGAAATTCTATATATTAGGTATGTTTATTACAAAGGGGCTAAAGAACAGGATGGGTGCCTGTGAGCCTAGTGCACCAATCCATACTGTATATACCTTTTTCCCAAAATAAATATCTTCTACCTTGCAGAGATTATAGAATTCTTTACATTAGTAGTTTTGGAAGTATGGGTCTGCAGACCACTGCTGGTCAATGGAAGCCCAGTGAATTATGCAGCTTCCCTACATGCATCAGCCACAGCCCATTTCCAACAATCAGTTGACACCCTATCAATGGACAAGGATGCCAGAGCTAAATTGGTGATTAGGCTCTAAGTACTATGTATGGTGGGAGGCCTCCAACATTTATCTGGCCAGATAAATGTGCCCCACCTCAAATACTATTATAAATACTTAATTCTGGATTGCATATTTTGGTATGAATATTAGTTTTAAAATGTCTTTCAAAATGGAATAAGAAGGCATACACAGATGCAACAATATTTTACTTAAAAATCCTTTCCCATGCTCACAAAGGTGAGCATGTAAGAAGGGGGTATCTAATGTGGCTTTCACCTCCCAAAAGGAATGTAAGGTAGAGCAAAATTTTATGAGACCCATACCTTTATGTCTGGGAACTGGCCAAGATAGGTGTCCATAGTCAGCAGTGCTTGATCTACCAGTTTCTGATGGAAGTCTGTCCAAAGCAGCTCATTGTTCTGGAACAGAAAAGGAGTAATGTGGGAAGAGTTGGGTTATCTGTGCATTATGCAGGTTTGCTCTATGTGAGCAATAGTACAATAACAGTGAGATACATTTCATACTGGTTAAGTGAATTCATAAGATAAATCATGTTTGAAGCTTCCTTTTTTAATATGCATATGTGTAACACCATTAGGATCTATTCCTAAAACTGTTGTGTTTTTGTTTTCTAGACAATTGTAATAGCTACAATTATTTAAAGGAGTTGGACAAAGATACTAGTTTTGTGCATCTTCTACACCAGCAGCCCCCAACATTTTTGCAACCAGGGACCAGAATCATGGAAGACAATTTTTCCATAGACCAGGTGTTCTGACCCAGCCTTAGCAGAAGCAAGAAACAGACTCCTTGTCTCAAAAAACCCTCTTTATTTAGCTCCTGTGAATTACTGGCATTCACACACTGAAAAGTCCAGGCAATAATCCTTCAAAGGGTTAATTGCAGTAACAGACTTTATCAGTTCCTTGGGATACTTGCCAGGTCAGGAGCTTCCAGTCGCAAAGCTGTAAATTAAGTTCTGGCAAGCAGTCTGTGAGGCATGAACCATGATAAGCAAATCTTCCAAAAGAAATCCGAACAGTTGTCTCCGAAAACCACACCCCCCCTTTCCTCCTGTTTATTCCCCAGCCAGGCAGGGGCAATTCAGCCTCCACGTGTGCTTTTCTTCCTGAGGCGGCTCCTTGTCCTCAGTTGTTCTCCTCTCCTAACACTTTGCACATGCGTGCATATGGAACAGGCCCCAGCTGTTTGTCCTCCCCATTTATCTCCGACTCCAAAGGCAGCTGGGAAAGGTTGGACAGCCCTGGCTCTACCTCTGCTTCCAATACAGGGCATCCATCAGAGTCTTTCCCAGACTCCAGGACTGGCCCAAGTTCCTCCTCAACCTCCAGGACTGGCCACAACACCGGGCAGGGGAAATGGTTTCCATTTCACTCACTCGCCTGCCGTTCCTTACCAGCTATTCAGCTCAGTTCCTAGCAGGCCATGGACCAGTACTGGGGGTTGGGTACCCCTGTTTTATACAACAGGAAAAGCTCTAACTGTTGAATTTCAACCCGCCATGAACAAAAGATTTACTTGGAATATTTGCTATATGACAAATATTCCCGTGCCTTTTCCCCCCTATCTCCACAATATTTGGGATTTGTTGTGGCCCATCAGATGCCAGGAGAGCTAGCAGCAGAGTCAGATGAGGAGAAGGTTGAGGGGGAGCCTGGGCCGGCTTCAGAGCCTTTGGAAGGCTCTGATGAGGAAGGAGAATCAGAGGCAGAGTCTGGGTCTTCCATCCTTCCATCCTCCCCCAGGTGGAGTCTTTAGAGTCTAAGCTGAGTGAGGGGAACAGATTGGGCCCTTTCCAGATGTGTGTATGCATAGGGTGGAAAGGAGAGGAGAGCAACAGAAAGCAGTAAGCTGGCTCTAAGGGAAAAGAAGACATAGACGCTAGCCAGCGCCTCCCTGGCTGGGAAATAAATAGTAGGGGTTTAGGAGTAGCCTCTTGTCTCACACAACCGTTCGTTTTCCAGTGTACATCAGTCACATTGGATTCCTTTGCCAGAACCAGGTTGTTGGGACTACTGCTCTGTATTTGAGGTGCCAATAAATTCTCCCTGCTGGGAAATAATAGGATGTGCATTTGCCTCAGCTGATGTGAACAGAGACTGTTCTTGCCTTGTTTTTAGAAGGGGAAAAGACTTCCATTTGTGACTCATTACTTTGATGAGTGAACAAAGACTGTTCTTGTCTTGACTTAAATAAAAAATGTTACTCATGAGTAAGTGGTTTCTTATTGCTTGTGAAGGCTGGGTCAGAACAGCATTTTATGAGATATATGGGTTCCATCAATTCATTCTTGCTTTTTTCTAAGCAGCTACAATATCAGCAAGTGCCTAGTGTTCACGTTAAGTTGGAAAATATGATTTGCAGACCCTCAGGATCAGTACAGTTCCCCCCCATCTGGTTTCATACTGTCTGGCTGTGAATGTAGGAGACATGTTATTTGCTTCTTCTTGTGTGGAATTTTTGGTATCTGAAAAAGAATATTGTTGTATCATAGAACACACCAGCACAATTTGTGCATGATGTAAAATAGATAAGCATAGTAAGGCATAGCCAGCTCAGGATTTTTGCTTGAATACTCCCTCATTCCTGCTTTGCTACAACAGGCACAACAGGCACAAGGAGGAGATTGGAAATACCATCTTCTAACCCCAAAGTTTACTCGACACAACAAAGACAAGTTGTAATTAATTCAAACCATGGTTCATTAAAACAAAGCTGGATTAAATCATGGCCTATGACCATGGCAATTTTCAATAAATTAACACTTTGTAACAGTCCTGGGTTGCCAATACTTTTACTACTGGTTCGGATGCACTTCTGTGCATGCTCGTGCTCACAACGCTTGTGTGTATGTGCAGAAGCATCCGTGAGGGTGTGTGGAGCCTCCCGCCACCACTATTACCAGTTTGCCTGATCCGGGCTGAACCAGCAGCAACCCATCTCTGCTTTGTAAACCAATCGATAAGTCATGAAGAGGAAGTGATGGCTTCTCTTCTTTTCCTTGTGACAGAATATGCAAGTCTAAGATTTAAGCATATTCAATTGTGTGTAACACTACACTACAGTTCCACAATATTACATATCACCCAAATCCATTTAATACATTCTGTCTCCACAAATTTGAGATCACAATACATTTATCACACTAATGCATGAGAAATCCAAAGCTCACCTCTGCTATTTTGTTAGTATCATCCCTTCCTGGCCACTCAGGTTCATATACTTCTTGCAAACATTCTGTAAGTCTCTTGGAGGCTTCATGCATTGCTTTGAAATAGAAAAGAATGACATAATAGTACCCAAGTAATTATTCACACACACCCTAAGGAAAAACCAAGCAAACACTTTGCTCATATATAAAGGACTTGATAATATTCATAATATTTGTTTTCCAACAAATATTCCAAACAAAATATTAGAATTTGTTCATTCCAAAAAATGAACAAGAAAACTTGTCACACACAAGGTAGGTAGATGATAGATAGATGATAGATAGATAGATAGATAGATAGATAGATAGATAGATAGATAGATAGATAGATAGATAGATAGATAGATAGATAGATAATGTTATTTGTTCTTCAAAATTACACTGAAAGATTAAAATAGGAATTGCTGTCTATTGATATAATTAGTCTGAGCTATGTTTTATGGAGTTTTGTTAAGTTGGCAAGAACAAAATTAAAAGGAAGGGACAGGATTCCATCAGAAAGAGGAGATTTGCATTATGATTGCTTATCTCTCCTGCTTCTTGGAAATTGAAAAGTATAACATATGTCATTTACTTGTTATTAAGCAAATTAATAACTCCAAGCTTTCAAGCCTGATGGTCATTTTTTTTTACCATCATGGGACCTAACAATATGTCAGGAGCCAGGAGGGCATCTCCCCCACCCTTCATTATCCTCTTGTATTTGCTATCCTATGAGACAAGATATAGCTTGAAGGATTTATAAAATATGAGTAGAATCTATCTGCAGCACATCCTGAGGAAATGTTTCCAGATTATACTACAAATAAATAGCATTTGCCCTGCTCCAAATTTTTCTTGACCTCCACTATACCCCAACCATTACTTAGTTCCATAATTATAACTTTCTAAAATAATGCAGATAGTTCTACCTAGTAGCAATAAACAAAACCAAGTGAGATAAGCCTTAATAGTGGCTTCTGGAATTTACTTCAATGAAGAGCATGAAAAGGCAGTAGGACTATTATTTGAAGTACTACCTTTAACTGAAGTCAGGTAGGTCCGGAGATCCTTCTGTAGCTTGGATCCTTCTGACTAAAAGAAAAAAAGTGAACAGAATTAGTGAGTAAGCTATTATAATAACAGGTCACAATAGTTGGTTATGATATTCCAGTATTGGTGTTCATCTTTAATATCTTAAAAAGAAAGGCTAGAATATTGCTTTTCTCTTAAAACGAACCCTTCTAGTTTCTAAGATTAGCTGTAGAGGCAATTCCCCAAATCAGCAGAAATTTGACTTTTTAGATATGACATCTTCTTTGTAGAACATTTATCTCTGGAAAGCCATATTAATTTCCTTTAGGCTCCCAATTAACTATTGTTTTCTTTTTTTTTTACTTTTAATTTAATCAATTAAATGATTTTCAGTCATTTATATAATTCCATATTGCTTTTATTCACATATACTGTCAACCTCAGATTTACAGTACGTAGAGAACAGTCACATCAATATTACTAATGAAAACTTTTCATTTTGAATGATAAATTTGTTTCAATCTAATGGCCAATGTTGGAGTTGGGCAACCTGATTTTTACAGCTGTTTGCAGCTGGAATAAAGCAGGAATCTCCAGGTTTTCTATCTTCATAGGAAGCAGTCAACAAAGTACTTTTCTTCTTGAGAGCAAGGCTTTTAAAAATTGCAATCTCACTGGCTTGAAATATGGTCTCCATCAAGGGTTGACAATCAAGGAAGAATCTCTTAATTGTAACAGGGATGTAAGTCATTTCTGACCCGAGCCTCCATTTTAACATTTAAATACTCAAAGTCCCCAACCAATATCTCCAGCATAATTCTAATTCTGCAAATCCTCTGTATCTGGGATAATTTAATCCTCAAAGTGTGCATCTTCAAAGACAGTACAAAAGAAAAGAAAATGATTGAATACTGGGCAGCCCTTCCCACCTAACATCAACAAAAGCTTTATGGCCATGGGAACAGCTGTGACTTTTCAAAAGGAAGGACATGGGCAGCTGGAAAAAGAAAAATCTATCTAGCAACTGTTTGTACAAAAGACTGCACTTCCCCTTTCCTTTTATCTTCATAAAGGGGGAGTTTAAAGAGAGGAAGCTTATACAACATCTGTTTCAGGAGGTAGCAGACAAAGAATATATGTTTCCTATCATGGTCCCCCTTGCTCTTACTCTAAAAGTGTTTATGTTTTCATACTTAATCTTGTGTTTTAAAAATAAAAAATCATAATAGGGTTCCAATTATCCAAGATTTAAATGTACAGGTATATGTTTCTGAAATATTCAGATTCTGTTGCTGATGTTGACTTTGCATTCATTGTACTGAAAACCCTTATAAAATGAGTAGAATAATCTTTTTACAAACTTTAGCTTTGGAAACTATCAATTACAAATTATTTCTGTATATGAGGCCTCCAGAAGGAGAGAGGCCAGGGTATACTGTGTAGGCTGTGCTGATCTTTATGTCAATAATACCATCATGTCAACAGAAAATTAAACAGAAACAGATTCTTCCACATAATCACCATAGGTGCCAATACAAGCTCCCAAAATAATTTATTAGGAATGCAAGAGTTCCAGAAATGTTGAAGCAATGGGGAAAAATAATAATAGGCTTTCCTTTAAATGTTTGGGGATAGGGAAATAAATACTTGGCAAAATAATAAACACAGTACTTAACTCTGCGGTCAATTAGAATTTTAAAAATAACTTAGTCGTTTAAAATTTGTATTATGTATAGCCTGATTTGCTTATGCAAATATATTTGTTGTAAAAATTGAAAAGTATAATTCATTTAGATAGCAGTTGCACATTGACTGGAGCCATTTTTATTAATTATTATTTTTTGCACTTATGCCAGAAGCATCAAGGAGCTTCTGGCTTGTAAGGATTGCCCTGTTGGGACTTCCTATAATGTCCCCAGCAGGAGCTGGAGTGAAGGACAAGAGCTCACCCTGTCCCACAGAAGCATCCGGGCCTCGAACGCAGGCTTGCTACAACCAAGTGTCCGAACCACAAGAGTCATTGTATTCACTACTGGAACCATGTTGAAATATTTTCAGTTTTAAAGCTGCTGAACTCTAAAATGTGTCTCTTTCCTTCATTTCTGTGTGTTTTGAAGAAGCATCCCAGCCAAAGTTAATCCTGAAAATCATGGAGGCCATCAACACTGTAAGATATGCCAGTAGTAGTGCTGAAAAAGCAGCTGACTCTGGTTACACACTAATTGCAGACCAAGAAACAGAACTCAGATGGATGATCAAGCTGAGTGATGTTTAATCTGTTTTGGTATCATTATGGTACCCTTAAAAGCTCATAGATAGGAAGTATTCTAGTTCTATCCTTGTTAGGACAAGTATCCACTGTAACATGAAGCACTTTTACTGGGTAAGGCTAATGCATCAGCTCTAATGCTATAATGAGATAAGAAATAGCATTATAGCTAAGTAAAAGCGGTCATGAAAGAGAAACACAGAATTTTGCCTATTATAGAGAAAGTAACTGGAGCAGATTTTTTCCCTTCCCTCATAGTGCTAAAATCCAGGGTCACTTAATGAAGCTGTATGATGGGATATACAGAAAAATAAAATGAAGCACGTAAAATATGGAATTCATTACCATAGGAAGTTATCATGCAAATTAGACTGACAAAGAACAAAGGAAGCATCTACGTAGATATGCTACTAATCATGGTATAGATTAGTAGGATCACTGAAATTAGTGTACCTCTGAAATCCAAATGTTAGGAAACACTGCCAGAGGAAACACTGCCATGCACTGCTTCACGTACAGGTAGTCCTCAACTTACAACCAATTATGAGCCCAAAATTTATGTTGCTAAGTGAGAATTTTTTTAAGTGATTCTGGTCCTATTTTACTACTTTTCTAGTCATATTTGTTAAGTGAAACAGTGCAGTTGTTAAATTAGTAACATGGTTGCTGAACGAATCTGGTTTCCCCATTGACTTTGCTTATCAGAAGGTTGCAAAGGTGATCCCAGGACCCCAGGACACTGCAATCATCGTAAAAGTGAGTCAGTTGCCAAGCATCCAAATCTAAATCATGTGACCGTGAAGATGTTGCAACAGTCATAAGTGTCAAAAATATAGTCATAAGCCACCTTTTTTTCAGTTCCATTGTAATTTTGAACTGTCACTAAGCAAACTGTTGTAAGTTGAGGACTACCTGTACCCTTTCTCTAATCGTCTGGTTGACCATTATAGGACATAGAATGCCATAGTAAGTAGGTCTTTGGCCTGAATAAAGGTAGTTTGTAAATGTTTAGAAGTGTTCAGAGTCAAACTGGAATAATCAATTTTATAATCAATTCCAGTTTGGCTCTGGCAAAGAAAATATACATGTTTCCATTTGGACAAACAACTGCTAAAAAAGCATTTGAATTTAAACAAAGAATCAGATTCAGTTGTTACCAGCCATGTAATTGCTGACACTTGGCTCCTACCATCTTATGAAGCCATCTTAAAGATGAAAGGCATGCCAGAACTGAGATATGTTCACAATGGCCAAAACATATGGTTTTATTGTCCGTATATAGCCATCCTTGGAGAGGTGGGGGGTGATGGTTATAATATACATATAACCACAGGTAATCCTTATTCTGCAAATTTAGGAGTATATGGGGGATAGACAGCTTAGTGTGACCGATCAGGAACAGCTGGGTTTCTCTCTGACACTCAGGCACATAAGAATGCAGGAAAGACTATCTTTCTGTCATTATGCATCCATTAAGTCTTGAGCCTTGTCAAATGTTTAATGCTATTAACAGAACAGAAAGGAACAGGAGAGATAAGGTGGTATGTTTAATACCAACACTTCATTTGCTATTTAGAGATATGGCAAATGAACATTTCAGATCCAGCTCACAATCTGCTTTTTTGAGATACTGAATTTGAGGCTCATTATTTCTGTATACCTAAAAGAACTTCAGTGGATGCCATAAAAGATGGGAGATAAATTATAGTGACTAGAAAAAATACATTGTCAGAGAGACAAGCAAGTTATTTTCATCAAAACAAGAACCTACATTAGACTATGGTATATATGTTACAGTAACTATCATTAAAGCGCTTTGCAAGATCATTCACAGCATTTCTTCTTCCTTTTCTTTTCCTTTGCCAAAATAGACACAGTCCAGGGCAGAAGGCTCTGTGCTTAATTGCAGTTCCTAGATATGGGAAACTAATTCATTGGGAAATATTCTTAACATGAATATTTTCCCAGACAGCAATTTCCAGAAGTGGGAATTTATGAGACTACAGCATAACTGTTCTCTGTCAGTTGACCAAGAACAACTGCCATTACAACTGAAGAAGTTAAGCAGTTCCAAATGTAACTATTTGTTGAAGAAATAATGGGGGGGGGGATCTGCTGATTAAATCAACAAATGCAGTGAGCAAGGCAACTATTAGCTAATACAATAAGATTCCCTTCCAAACACATTCATATTGTATGTTTGTCTACCAGTGGTGGGTTCCTTTTTTAAAAACTACTGGTTCACATGTGTGCGCACGCTTGCACGCACATGCAAAACTTCTGTATATGCACAGAAGCCTCCTGCCACCGCCACTACCGGTTCGCCTGATCCGGGCCCGAACTGGCAGAAACCCACCTCTGTTGTCTACATATTGAACATTTAAAGCATTTATAGAATAGAAAACAGAGTTGGAAGGGAGCTTGAAGGTTTTCTAGTCCAACTCCCTACTTAGGCAGGAACCCCTACACCACTTCAGACAAATGGCTATCCAACATCTTCTTAAAAACATCAATCGTTGGAGTATTCACAACTTCTGGAGGCAAGCTATTCCATTGATTAATTGTTCTAACTGTCAGGAAATTTCTCCTTACTTCTAAGTTGCTTTTCTCCTTGATTAGTTTCCACCCATTGCTTCTTGTTCTGCCCTCAGGTGCTTTGGAGAATAGTTTGACTCCCTCTTCTTTGTGGCAACCCCTGTGATATTGGAACACTGCTATCATGTCTCCCCTAGTCCTTCTTTTCATTAAACTAGACATACCCAGTTCCTGCAACTGTTCTTCATATGTTTTAGTCTCCAGTCCCCTAATCATCTTTGTTACTCTTCTCTGCATTCTGCACTCTTTTAGAGTCTCCACATCTTTTCTACATTTATGTATATTTCTATTGTCTAAAATAATGCTACTATTTTGAATGAATAAAACCCCCTTTTATTTTGTTTTAAACATGTATACATTTCTGTTCATAATGTTCATCTGAGAGCTGTTTTACAATGCAAACATTGAAACACTGTAGTTGCTTTGATAGTTGGGGGTGTGTGTTTCCTTTTAAATGATAGCATGAGTGAATAGGAGCATGCTCCTAGCTGGGTTTGTGTTTATTTTCTTATGTTTTAATCTATCCTGGTAAAAAAAAAAAAAAGCAGAAGCTATTCGGAAGAACTATGCAAAGGACAGATCAAGTGAAGGAGAAAGTCATCTTCTGCTTAGCTCCAGTTGTGCTGTTCGTCAAACTGCAGAGGTACCTCAGATTACTGGAATGTCCGCGCCTCTGCCAAAAAAGTCAACCCATGTTTGGTTTACATGATGCATATCAAGGTCAGCCTCTAAGCTAACAGGGAGGTACATCTCGTGCCATTTGCAGGATGAAAGGAAGCATGCCCATAGATCTCTGAATGGACATACAAGGTATTTAGAACAAGATTCCCTTCCCATTCAGGAATAAGAAAAAGTTGACAGTGTAATGCATGAGCGAGACAGCTAATTTTATATCCCTTCCATTTCACGGTGGACCTCGTTCCCACTTGACTGTACAAAAACAGGGTCTTAGCTCAGGGCAAAGCAAAGACAGTTGTCTGTTTGTCTTCCCAGCAACATATCAAACAATCGGCCCATTCTTCAATAGATTCCTAGATGCCATTTCTATCCTTCCTGGGACTCCAGCTTAAATAGAGAAAGGTCTTTGGCTTCATAAAATTGACTTCCTTTAGTACTTATATTTCCTGTCGCTACCATAAATGTGGTTTCTCAGACCCAAATATAACCCCAAAGCAGGCAGGATAATGAACAGTGAAGTAGGTAGTCTCAACAAAGCTAAAAGCCTTAGAGCCAGAAAATCCCACATGTTTACCCAGAGAGTAGCAGTGACTATCTAATAATAAAAAAGGAAAGCTACAGCTGCAGTGATAGGTGCTGGTCACCACTTCATCCTTTCTTCTATTTGGGACAACCAGCTAGACACTATAAATTTCCAGATGCTCCTGTTATGTTTACTTTTAAAATATCTAATGATCTTCTTTAGGAAAATTATGTTTGTCCCAAGTACATGTTATTGTTTAGCAAACCAGCTCTGTTTGGTATGATTGTATTATTTTGTATGATTGTAATTACAAAGCCTTTTTAGAGACATTTTTTTGTATTTAATTAATATTCCCTTGGGTTTTATTCTTATACAAGGGTAAACTTTGTTTTTCTGGCATCAAATATTTTCCCAGATGGGGGAAAAAAAGATCTTGTGATATCTTGTGAAATTTCAGTAATTTTATCCTGATCTCAAATGATCCTGAGCAAGAATGCTGAATTCTCATGAGAATTCAACCAAGAACACTGACTTTTAAAGAAATTGCAATGTGTCCCCCCCCCTAAAAAGATCATATCAGCTGTTAGCATTATTTGAGCTTATATTAGCCAATAAACTTGTAAGTTTTCATTCATTTTATTTTTAAAATGTTTGTATTTAAATCCATGCAGAGGGATCCATGCAAAGTGTTTAAGATGCAATGGAAGTGATGGGAATCCATGATACCAATCCAAGTGCTAATTTGTTAATCAAGTAGAAACCAGTTATAAAACACAGAATGCCATGATGGGGAGAGGGGAGATTGTGTACTTCTTTACAAAAACACATGTGACTGTTTAAAACCCTCAAGAATTCTGCTTTCTGAAAAACCATTCAATTTAGGATCTAAATTATGTAGTGTAAGGGCTGAGGCTGATACTTACAAGATGGGAATGTGAATCTCAGGCAAGACAGAAGAGTTTTGTAAACTCTAAGCAAGCCTCACCCAATCTCAAGGCCAGAAAAGCTATGACCAATTTTCTGTTGATTTGAAAATGCAGAAGAAAATTTAGAATTTAAAATGTGGGGCAAAACAGTCACACCAGCTTTGGGTTTCTGTATTACAAGTAATTCTTGACTTACAACTGTTCATTTAGTGTCCGTTCAAAGTTACAATGACACTGAAAAAAAGTGACTTTTGACTGTTTTTCAGACTTATAACTGTGGCAGCTTCCCCATGGTCACATGGTCAATATTCTGATGCTTGACACTGATTGATATATATGATGGTTGCGGTGCACTCGGGGTCATGTGTTCAGCTTTTGCGAGCTTTTGACAAGCAAAGTCAATGGGGAAGCCAGATTTACTTAATAACCGTGATACTAACTTAGCAATTGCAATTATTCACATGACAACAGTGGCAACAAAAGTCATAAAATTACATTATTTTCCCACTCTGCCATGCTCACGCTGTATTGTGAATTTTATCAAGCACCAGGAAAATCAGAAGATTCAGGCAGTCCAAATGAGTATGGAGATTTATTGCAAGCTTAAGGTCTCTACAAGAATCTGAACTACTAATGGTCAAGGGAAATTAGTGGGAGTTAAAAATAGAAAGGAATTCAAGGACTTAAATCTCTTGTGGGAGCTCAGGGACTCATGACCAACGACATGTTTGATCCCTCCCTCAGGCTCAGCATGGTCATCTCCTACAAATTGGTGCTTAAACTTATTTTAATGGAAACACTTGCTTACACAGTACTGAAGAACTTCTCTACTTCATGCTTTTAATCCAAAAAAGCAGCAAGTTGATTCCTAAGTATGGTTGACATTTCAGTATGTTATAAGGGAAACTACTTATTGCATTAATGTAAGCTAAAAACATATGATTTCAAAAATTGCATCATGTACTCAATGAAATGAATGCATGTGTTATTTATAACTAAGCATGAAAATGACCTAGCAAGCAAGAGTTTTGCTCAAAATGGCCAAACTTCTTTTCTGCACACATATAGAACCAACTAGTGTTTGGAGATATGGCATCTGACTATGGGCTTTGCATTTTACAGTCCCTGATAAGATCATTTACTACTCCCTTTAAAATAATTTAATAATTACAGTGGTACTTAAAACTGTGTGATTTTAATTACGTAATTAAGTAATTACTTAATTACTTTTAATTATTCAATATTTCTGCATAAATATGACAAACACATTCCACATATGTTCTAAAATAAATTAAATTATATAACAAATTAACAAAGAGAACCCAAGTAAACAAAGACATTATAACATTATAAGACAATACTTTTATTCATTGTTCTACTTGCATTTTTTTAAAATCCAAGTTTTTTACATGTGCCGTTGACTGGGTATAGTCTGTTCCATGCACATCTTTTGGAGGGGACTAATTTGTTTGACCTTTTGTCATTTTTTTTCCTCTCGTAAGAATGTTATTTTATGTTTGGATGGTCCATTTTTGCAATTATAGAGCAGAAAATGCTCAATTATATTTTTATGTTGTCATATGTTGTATTCTAACAAGGACAACTGGAAAAGAAAGATAATTATTTGTTCTATTGCAGATTAAGTAAGTCATCAAAGTTTAAAAGAGGAGGCTATCTGCAATTTTTAAGTATTGTATGCTATTCTCAGGGACGGAAAAATAGTTACAGCAGTAATCAATGTCTCTAAATTTTGCCAAATAAGCCTTGAAACTTTTATACCATACTGGAACCTAAGTACTGTATCCCAAATCCTTTCCTGACCATCTGGTATTGGTTTGGAATCAATTAAGATCAGGGAAGAAAAAAGATATTTCATAAATTAAAAGAATAAGTAAACAAATTTTGATTCATTTATATATTTATAAAATTTGTATGTCCACCCATCTCATTGAAAGTGATTGTGGGTGGTGCACAACAGTCAATGAATGAATCCTTAAAACTCACTTACCAGCTGTTTGTTAAAGTTTTGCACACACTGTTCAAATTGCTCATCTTTTGTTTCATCCGCTTTGCCAAGTTTCTGGAGGACCTATGAAAACAAGAAGGAAGAAGTCAATATTTACAACCACACAAAAAAAACCAATATTTTTTTTGTTTATTTTAAACCAAAATAACAGAAAAAGTAGGCATGGGGAGTAGGAAAAAGTACAGTTTATGTTAAGTATAGTCCACTCAGTTGTAGAGCAAATACTTCAACTACAATGAGTAATAAGCAGTGGTGGGTTGTAAATATTTTTTACTATCGGTTTGGGCACGCTCCCGCCCACCTGCAAAGTTTCTGCACATGTGCAGAAGCTTCTGCACATGCACAAAAGCGTCTGGGTGGGTGAGCGGGGCCTGCTGCTGCCGCTACTACTGGTTTGGCCGAACCAGGAACAACCCACCACTGGTGCCAAGGCCAGTTCAAGACTCTGACCAGGCTGAGCAGTCATCACAACATAAAAATGAGGGGAAGATGATCCAAAGACCAAGTTCAGCATAAAGTAGCATCACAGGCTGAGGGACAACTCTTCAGTGTATTTCTGAGCTTATCCTTTCAAAACGATTGGTGCAAAATTTAACTAAGAGCTTAGCATTTTTCTTCACAAGTTAACATTGTTATTGAGTTATAAGATAAAATAAGATACAAAATATGAAAGTAAGTAGGAAAGCAGTAGGGAGAAAGTGGAAGGGGGGAGTGAGGAAGAGTTGAGAAAAAGAAGCACTGATGTCCGATTCTCTCTGTTGCAGTCAAATAAGGCATTAACATCAAACCACAACTTTTTGGGGGGTTTTTTCATAATAATATAAACTAGCCATTTCTATAAGGATCTGTTAATCTAATCGGTAAAACTCAAAATCAAAGTTTCATTATTTTCCACTTCAAGCACAAAGTTCAGAAGCGGTCTCCATGTGGAAACAAAAGTACTTATATTCTTTTCTTTAATCAAAATAGTCGATTTTGCCATTTCAGTCAACTCCATCAGTTTCTGCAGCCACTCGTCCTTCCATTTTTGTGTGTATAATAATCTTGCTGCTGTCAGCATATATAGTGTCAAAGTTCTATTTTTTTTCTCTTTTTCCATTAAGTCCCAAAGGAAAATTTATGGTTTCATATTTATCTTCATTTTCATAATTTTCTGTATTTAAATATGAATCATGCTCCAAAAAGTTTTTGCTTTATCACATGTAGAGAGAAGCTTAGCATTTTTCTTAACCAACTTCATTTTCTGCTAATGTAAAAAGAAGAAATGGCCAATAAGAGCAATGGGGCATAACTTACCTATGTTATCCATCTACATTCCATGATAGGAGAGGGAACATTTCAGATGTTGCTTTCAGGAGCCAGCCTGCTGACTGATAATGAAGACAGTTGGAAACTGTAATTTAGCAACATCTGGAAGGCAATCAGTTTTTCTTCAACTCTGCTCTTTATAACATAAAGGGAAAACTCTGTGGGCTGCAGGTTTTTAATTAAATTAATTTGATGAAAACTAATTAGAGAGGCATGGAACTGAAAAGTCAAAAGAACAGGAAAGCAACCATGTGCAGTGTAATTCTGTTCCCCCTTCAAAAACGTTAGGGCATCGTCCCTACAAAATGGTTCTTTTGTGAAATATAGAAGGATTAAGTTCATATGCACAGCACAGAGTTATCACTCTTGGACTTATGAGAATTGAATACACTTCTGTCTAGGATTAGAAATAGCCCCCGGAGGCTCCTGTCATAGGGACATGATTCTGTCATAAGGAAGGACCAGAATAACTATGGCAAGCAGCCAGGCCTCTCTTAGCATTGAGAGACCCTTTTTAACAATGCAGTTCACACACCATTTGAGGCAAAGTAAAATTTAATCAAGACACTTCATTTATCAGCCATTTCCTATTAGTGCTCTTTGTATGGAGTCAAGCGTGCTGCTGCCATGGCGGGTGGCCTACAAAAGCTAACTCAGGGCTGGCTGGCTGGCTGGCTGGCTTTTTTGAATGACTGCATAGACACAAGCAATAGTAGCCACAGTGTCTGTTGTTCACTTTAATTGCCTGCCCCTTCCCCTTCATACACTGATGACGGCTTTATACATTATGTATTTTTTAAGTGAAAAAATAATCTATTTTGTATGCACTCAGAAAGCCAATACATGTTGATGCAATAACCAGCCATAACAAAGACCAGATATGACCATTTGTCAAGCCTACTTTTAATTAATTTAATTGTGTGAGAGAGAGAGGCGGGGGAGGGAGGGAGGGAGGGAGACTCAAAACAGTCCACAGACAGTGATTGCCCACACAGCTGTTTCATTACTATGGAAAAAGAATACCCCAGCCCAGTTACGTCTGACTTTAGGGAGCAATACTCATCTCCATTTCTTAGCGAAGGGAGTCAGTGTTGTCCAACTCCCTGTTTCTGTTGCCATATGGCCAACATGATTATACGCCAAAGCACACAGACCTCTGTTATGTTTCCATTGAAGTAGTATCTATTTATCTACTTACATTTGCATGCTTTCAAATTTCTAGCTGGGCAGGATCTGCAGCAAGGATGTGAGCTCACCCCATCACAAAGCACTCAGGTCTCGAACCGGCCTGTTAGCTTTCCAGTTAAAAAGCTCAGCACCTTTAACCACTGAGCCATTGTGCCCCCAGTATACATGTGTATTTATAAGCAATAAACTATAGAATGTTTTTCTGCACATAAATTATTGCAAGTTAGAGACCATGTTACAGATTTCTCCTGTTCTCATGCAGAGAAGAGTAAAGAAGTTGCCCATTTCTTTGCTCTTTGTTTGGAAACTTCTTTAGAAAATCTGTTTCTCCCAAATATTACAATAAGGAGTAAAGCTATGGGGGCCTGAGAAACTGCCATGGAGAATAAAAGAAGAGCACTTAGAGAAGTGGTTAAAAAAATAGTGGATATAGAAGTGTACTCATTTATCCTAGCACTGATAATTCCCAGAGGGGATGGAAAGGGTCAAGGAATAATCCATTTCCTACAAGCTCTCATTTCTGTTAAGAAATTCCTACTTCCTACTCTATTACAGATTGATTGTTGAAAGATTGCATAATCAACATTCCTAATCAATTTACACTACAATTTTGAATTTGATCCTACGCACATATGTGCAGACAGCTCACTCTGTAATCCTGATTTTCAGAATTTCATTTTATCCATGTGCACAAGAGTACTTACTACTTAAGGCTGGTATTTAATGACTGAGTGGGTGGCTAGTTCAGCATCACCCTCTTCAGAAACCTTTTTCCATGCCCTGGGATTCTGTTACTGTTTCTCAATCTTTCCTGAGCTTGTCGATATGATCCCAAGTGACGTCTCCTTTTTCGTTACTTTTCCAGATTCCCTAGCATAAGCACCAAGTGGGCAATCTCTGTCCTAAATTGTAACTTCAACATTCTTTTCTCATGTTTCTCTTACTTGCATTTATTTCAACTCAGTGTTTAACCTCTTCTTAAACCACAGTGAATTAAAAAGCATAGTAAATGCAGTGCCAATTTACTTGTTTTCAATGTTATTCTCTTTATTGTTCTCTGCCTTGCATTCTATTCTTTGGCAGGTTGCAGAGTATATGTGGCGGACGCATGCTGTTACCTTGGTGATGATTTCTGATGGGTTTGCCCATTCAATCTTGCAGGATCTGTTTTTGATTTCATGAATTTGCCTGTAAACCTGAGATGTCCTGATAGTCTCCCATCCCAAAATTAAAGAGGTCTGACCTACTTAGCTTTTGCCTTAAGATCATAAAAAATAGACCAACCACCAACTCTTACTCATAGAAAGAAATTTCAACCATATGCCAAACCTTAGCCAGCAGATTGTTCCAACCCTTATTATCCTTTTAGAAACTCACAAACTTGAATCAATTAGCTACACATTCTTATAAATAAAATGAAACTATCATTTGATTTCATCACAACAGTTAATTAGGTAGAGCAAATTCTGATACAAAAAGGTTCTTAAAGTGTCATGTTTATGTATTATAATCATAGAAAAAAATAGACTCAGCCTGTATTAACAGTTTGTTTCTGTGCTCTCTTTTTTCCACATTCAGTGGATTAATACATGTAAATATTTAGCAAGGATCTTTTGAATAATCTGGTTTAATATTCAAATTTCAAAAAATGCAAAGTCATGGCGAGTTGGACTTTTTTCCCATCACAACACATAGATGTGGAATATCATTTTTTTAAAAAACAACAACAATGTTTTAATGAACTTTTAGTTTCAGTAGTTATATAGTTCTTGGGATCCTGGATATTATCCTCATCCTGATTATTCTTTTAGCAAAAAATGTATTGACTTTGTAAAACGACTATTTTTCAAATTAGGTAAAAGTTCATTTAACCCAAGCAAATATTGTGACTATGTTGTAATATCTGAAAGGTTTCCCCTATAAAAAATAGTACACATACAAAATGCAAGATACCAGTTGAAAACTTTCAAGTTCAGATCATTTGTTTAAGCATGGATTATTATAAACTTCAGTTGGATTCACAAACCACACAATAGCATTACACATCTGCAGTATCAGTGCTTTGAAAGCACATACTACTTGGAATTAATTTACAGTCAAGAATGCCAAATTGTGGTAAAGTGACCGTACTTCTAAAAAATCAAATATAATTATTAGGGATGTATAACACCCCTTGTTAAAATTCAAGAAAGGTTTTTCAAAGCCCATAGCAGCACAAATGTACCATCTATCTGTAACTGTCCACCTGAAGCTGTTGCATCATTTCCTGAGACTACATACCAGTAGTTACTCTCTTCAGCTGCCATGTGATTCTCAGAAACAGCGGCAGTTACTTTAAAAAGCTACAGAACATTGCTTCCCATGTCCTCTGAAGCACTTTTTGGGACTGGATGTGAAGCACAGATCAGCCACTGACTGAATTGCAGCAAGCTCCTTTAAGCTACGTTTTTCTTCCTTTCCTGTAGTCTCCCAAAAACCTGTTCTTGCAAAATCACAATTACCACTGGGAAAAGTTCTCTTTGATACCAATAGCAGTTTTCCTCCTATTGCCAAATAATAGCCTGGAA